ATGCCCCCCGCCCCCCAGCCACTCCTCAGCACCTTCAGCAGACAGATACTGCACGTTGGTTCCCAACCTCCTGCAAAAATGATCTGGGTCAGCAGTTTTCTGTCATCCTGGAGTCCTTTCCTTCCTCCACTGTTCATCTTTTCCCCCAGGCTGCTTTATAACACCTCAATAGACCAGTTTCTGAGTGGGCACAAAGATGGTAAAAAAGACTTCCTATAAGTCACGAGAGGCCATTCGCTCCATCTTGCCCTGCCTGCCAATCTCCAGTCATCCAAGATTTTCCTCGTATGAAACAAGACCTGAATTTCCGAAGAACAAGTAGAAACATAATTCTTTTTTTATTGTCGGTAATAACCTTTCCGGCTTCCTTTACTCCGTACGTTGAAAGAGCACAAACACAAAAGGCATAGCTCTCATTTTTGCTTTTTCTTTGCCAGTCACCTTTAAACAAAAGAAAAATAGCAGGGTATCTAGAGCAGGCAGGGACCAAAATGGACCTGACTGAGATAAAAACCTAAATTTACTTTTTCTAGCTGCTAGAGCCTAATGTATTCTCCTATTCAGAGCAAGGGACATATGTCAACCCCATTCTACAAGTCTGGCAGGATATTACAGTTTGAATTAGCATGATAAATTAAAAATAGTCATAAAATTCTACAGAGGTCTTAAATCGTTATAATGTATCATATGAATGAAATTACACAGTTATTAAGCGGAATGGTTGAGATATAAACATTAACATGGCATTGCAGTCTAGAAGGATGAGTAGCCACGTCCCGAGGACTCTAAGTGATACAGATGTGGAGTAATCTTTGCTGATAATCTGGATGCTTTAGCTGGATTCAGGTAGCCTTTCAGTGCAGGCTAATCCACCATCTCCTGCATTATTTTCTTTTCTGATTTTTTATCTTTTTTTCATTCAAGATTCCGAAACCTTTTCCCCTTTGCACATAAGCTACTTTCAGTATATTACTTACAACATACATTTCAATGGAAGAAGGTAAGAGATTACACAGACAATGTAAACCTTGTTTTCCATGACCACCCAGAGACTGCCAAAAATCAGTTGTCTGCTAGAGGTTATCTTTAAATAAAGTTAAGCTAAATTGTATCAGATGCCTTGGGGATCCTTGAAAGCAGGCTTTTAAGACAGTCACATATAGATGTTGCTTGGTTTGATATAGGTTTCACTGTTTAAATCCTTTTGTGTTGGGACCTGGTCTGCTCAGGAACTGAATTACTCTGATTTACTTCTGGCTTTAACCAAATAATTGACTCCAGATTCAGAGCTGCCCAAGTGCTTTGGGAGCCTGAGTCACTGTTTCAAAGTGGATTAATAAGCTCTTAGGACCTGAACTTGCTTTACTGAATGCTGGCAAGATGCCCCTACGTGGTTTTGTGCAAGTTTCTCTTGGAGGCGCTATTGTAAGCGTAAAGATAGGAATGATCTGGCATATACAGAACTGTAAATAAAATGGGAATCTTTTTAAAATACATTTTTCTTTTCACTCACTCATAGATATGCTGTAGTGAAGCTATCTGTGAAGTTGGGGAAGGGTTAACTTCAGAAGAGTAAAGGGTCTTCCAGGGTTTCAGAATGAGAAAGCTGCTCTACCTGAGAGATGTTCTCTTGGAGGATATATTGAGCATGACTGT